CTTAAAGAAGAACGGAGTAGTATCAATAATAAAGTGAATGGATATCGTATGATGCCAGCCAGATAAAGTCTTATCATATTTTCTGCGCATGGACGGGTAAAATATTGTCATTTATGGACCAAATTTCTATTTTACAGAGAAGGACTTCGAACGTCGACAACATTAAAATATTCAGGAAGACGGAATGAGGGCACGGGGGAAGGATTTCCGTCGTTCCCTGTGCATCTTTGCCGTTCGGCATGGTGATTTGGGTGCAGCCACATTGGAAAAAACTGGCAAGCGCGAGTACTACTGTATGTGGAAGGCTCTATTGTGAATGACTGCAGGGTACGCCACCCGAAGTTGCGTTGTTGACGACTCTACTTTATCCAATAGGAATTAGCTAATAGAGCAACGCAATGAAATTGGCTAATGAAATTAATCACCCGCCGGCGCGGGTCATTTTAACCTACGAAGATCGAAGTGTCGCCACACACATCGAAGTGTCGCCACACCTACAGAAGATATTTATGGCCGTGAATTCGACATCGTGAACCCCAAGCAGTCTTGCATGATGGCATTTCAGGTGAACGTGCTGCAAGTCCTGGAGAGTTCGACCCAGCTGTGTGTCGTCCAAGGAACTTGGCATTCCGAGGCGCACCATACGCTCGTGGCCGAACAATATAAGGACATGTTCGCCTACTAAGGCAACAAAAACCGCATGAAACAAAGTCCTGGCTGCCGTTGACGTTGCCCGACCCAGTGGGACTCGTTGAGTACGGGTACGAGAACTGGTGTTAACAACGACTCAAATAGTCAACTGAATTGAAAGGCATCAAGTCAACTAGTTCTGACAATATTTCGCAGGAAAGCAACTGGACGGGGTACCAAGTTGTTGTTCTTCTTCTTCAACGGTTCTGTCATCGCCATGGATCCTAGCGCCAAAAGTCCGACCATAGTAAGCAGACCAAGGCAACCTTGATCGAAGTTCATGACAACTTGCGGAGGAATTCCATCTCTGCAACTGTAGCTTTAGGAACGACTCGATATACAACGTTGATGAGACCGACTTCCATTGCGACAGGATCATTGCATGCATTGAAGGCACCCATGACCGCAAGCGAAAAATAATCCATGTACGACAGTATTGCGAAAGACAGCCACCGAAGAAGTTTGAAACTTACTTCCAATTATATTTCAGAATCGATATTCCACAATATTATTGGTGACATTTATATGTTCACAACGGGATTTTCTAATCGAGCACAAAAATATGAGGCGCTCATCTTACCCGATATCGACGAAGCTCTAGTTTATCAGTCTCATGCAAACGATGTCTTGCCACGAAGTTGCTCATGCCCTTGGCGTACCTCGCCGCACCAAACGAAAATGGCATAATCAGCGAGATTTGCTCTTGGAGAACGATGGCGACTAGAAGCTCAGGAAGATCGAACTAGGCTGTCGATGCGAAGCATTCTCCGATCCACCTGATTTAGTCGAGTGTTCGAGATAACGAACGTGCCCTAATAACCACTCATATGATCATATTGATCAAGCTAAATCAACGAGAAGTACTGAAGACCCTGCCAGGTAACAAATAAGACAACAACAGTGTACGCCTTGTTGTCAGCCCTTGGATATCGTCCCAGGTTTCGCAGGCTGCGTTTGAAGGATGCGTAATGGCATCCTTCAAGCGCAGCCACAGGTTCCCCTACGACTACCTTGTTACGACTTCGTCATTGTAACTAAATCCTTCTTTGCAAATAATATATATATATTCTTTTCATGTTACAGTGGTCGAACGCATCGACCGACCATTTTTTCAATTTGCGTGTTTATAGTTGAATTGTTACATAAAAAATTGTTGTTCTGCTCCGCGTATTCTTCTGAATACAATGGACATGATCACATTCCTTCAAACTGAATAATACTCTATGACATGGTCAATCAAAATCAAGAATGATAGTCAATTTGCATCTTAAATAGTTATAGTCTTCTACAATTGATAAAGTTCTCGAAAGAGTATATTCGTTCGTAGATTCATAACAACCTTGACGGAGTTTATTAGTTTGCCCTCTGATAATTCATGCTTCATTTTAATTGGTCAGCTTTAGGATCACGGGGTGCATGGATTGCATGAATATTCACCTTTCATTCTTCAACAAACCCGCAATGCCTGGACTCGCCACTGAGCTCTACGACGAGATCACAAGCTTCGTCGATAGTGAGAGAACTGAGAGAACGCGCAGTTTATCGAGAGACGAACGTCAGTTGATACGTCGCATGCATGCACACCTACGCCATAGCATTGTTGTAGGTGTTACAGAGCAGATTGCACAGCTGGCAGGTCGAAACCTTCATGCTGTAAAGGAAGTATGGTCTAAATATCAACATCACAAGACTGTGACT